AGACATCAGCGATTTTACTACCACTTCTGGTATTTGTGATCAGAAGATGTTGAAGTCAGACAAAACGTCTGAAGGAAATGGGAAGGTATCGGCTAAAAAGCCAAAGGCAAATCTAGCGTTAATATTTTCACTCTTGTTTCTGTGTGAAAGATATTATGCATGCAGGTGTAATTGTAATCATGTCTTCTTCAGTGACCTTGAAAGACCTACACGTAAGAGTACAGAGGACCAAAGTTTGACGTAATTTTTGAACCAGAAAGTGTAATGCAAATGAATGGAGAACGAGGTTCTTCTGGTTCTTGCGCTGATGCCTTTTACACATAACCGTGCACGTGACGTACTCCCTTCCGTATTCTATACTAGTACATGTACACGTACATACATGTACCGTAACATGTATACGTCCATTCAAAAGCTAGCAATGGCAGAAAGATACCGACTGAGGCAGTACATTTTGTCCGACGACTTTTTTCATCCAAGTGGATGACGTTCTGTGCATGACAGCTCATCCGACCTTAACAAACAGCACAAAATATGGAAGGCCCGACGATCCAATCCAAGCAGAATCTTTCTCAAAAGCAAAACGATCAACAGCAGGTGTACACATACATTGTACATACACATCTATCCCGCCCTCCCCCAGTGTGATGTTTGGCTAGCATTTGAACCCTTCATGTTTTACTTTGATTTAAAAAAAATTGGGTTGTCCAAGTTGCTAGGGTTTCATGCTCTTCCAATGCAATTCTGTATGAAAAGTAAGGTGTCCAGAATGGCTCACAAGGTATCCAGAAGATGTCCAGACAACCCCCCCACAGGGAAAACAACACAATGCCCCACCCCCTCTCCATCTTCTTCCCCACTACGTCCCCATCAATGAATACTTACAAGTCCTGCTCGTCTTCAGTGATGAACTGCTCTAATTGGTCAAAGTCTAGCTCTTCTGGAGACTCGATGGCTGTGCAAAAATGGCAAAAAAAATAAGGAACAGACGTTACATGCATAATTTACCATAAAGTAAGTCACTTTTTTCACTGCTAAAGGGATGATGTCCCCTCCCAAAACTCACGTCCAAAAATCTGGGACACTCCAGACAGTGCAGACATGAGAGTTTATATGCAAACTTCAAATGAAACTTTACATCCCAACTACAACTTGCGACTCTTGTAACTTCATGGCATGACGGCGCAGGGTTTATGTACATTTGACTGTAAAAAGATCCCTGATTTTTTTTTTCTGAAAAAGTTCCATATAAATGTACATGTACAGACACAAAATGTTGGCCTTACTACTACTAGGCCTAGTAACAGCCATTAGAAAGTGACAACATTGTCCTAACTTAAATTTACATGTACCTAAGAAAACTCTGAGTCTGAGACTTAGAAAGCACTTTTTTCAGACCAGTCTCCCAGGTTTATATGTACAGTATATGCACAAACAGGGGCATCAAGTTCAACTGTTGTCCGTATATGGGACTCTTTCCCTGTCTTTCCGCCCTAGGTCTACCACGGAGGAAGGAAAACATAAAAGTGATGTCATGTTTTAAGTGCACTTTGCTGTCAGGCTGTGCAATTTGAAAAATCAGTTTTCACACCTTTGCACTAATTGCAGGCACACAACCAACATGACCAACAACAATCCTCTGAACCATCGACTTAAATAAGGGAAAATATTTCGAGCTTTGGACGAGTTGATAACGTAACAGTAGACAGCTCGTGAGTCTACATGTATCAAAATATTTGTACGCCTGCAACAAGTTACAATAATAGGCTTCTGTACAAATTCAACAATGCGTCACGCATGTTGAACACTGTCACTGTGCATGGAGGTATTCTACCTCCATGCACTGTGTCACTAGGCACTGTCAGTAGATGGATCGTCCGCCAAAAATGATCAAGCGGTATCACCAAACGTACTCACCAAAAAATCGTTGAAGTGCTTCATTTTCGTCCAACACATCCATGGATATTAACAACAAATGTTCAGTGTAGATTCCTGTTCGGTTATCGTTGACAAACACCACAGAGAGTTGGTGTACTGGATAGTGAAATCATTGCGATGATTTCTGAAACCGACTACCTGTTTCAGCCATTTTGGATTCTGCCTGTCCCCTAAGTTTTCCGACGACTCTTAAATGTATTAATTTTTATCTCTACAGCTAAGCGTCAAAACCTTCCTCAAGAATATTTCTAAATGATATTTCCTGCCCTTGGGAAACACTTTCGTCCTGTCTTTGTTCTAAGTGAGCCTTCATGGTGAACAGTCCAAACAAAGAGAATATTGTAAACTTCGTTGCCTTGTAATGTTTAAATACAACAGTCGTCAATCGACATTCTCCCTGAATGACGTCATTTTTTAGCAAGCACCGTCGCAGGCTGGTGCGGTTCCTAATTCTGAATGCTGCAGCAATTCGGTTACACAGGAAACCCAGCACAGGAGCAGCATTGCCTTCGACGAAGCCTTTTTTCAACCCCCCCCCTTCCCGGAACCCAAGCCAAGTACGAAGTCTTTTTCCTCCATAACCCTTCCCTTTCAAGTTAGCTGCAAAGTTTCAACCCGATGGAACATGTACTTCAGGATATATACTACGCTGCGCAATAGCATTTTTTTTTATTGCGCATCAACTAACTTTACGCGTGGAGTATAATTTAATATAACTGCACCGCTCAGAACAGAGCAGGAACAAAAGAGGGCGTGATTTGAAATGAATTGAAGGTCATTTTTCCAATACTCGACTTCGTCTCCGTTCAGGCTTCGTGTAGGAAGCCACCGAGTCCCTGAGTGTGGGCCTGAAGCGTTTAACTGAAATTAAAGTTCTGTATTGTTTGGCTCTTCTGCATTTTTATTGATCTTTTGTGGCACTATGAGACTTACTATTGCAATTTCTCCTCAAAATCAGGAAGTAAAAAAACCAGTTGAAGCCTGCGACGGAGCCCAAGTTGAGTATTGGAAAACGGCCTTAACGAGAACAGTTTTTTAACTGACCATGGGGGGAATGTGTCTTATTCCTCCACGAACTGACAAGGCTGCCCTGTTGAAATAAAACAGAATTACAACGGTTCCCACACCTATCATAAACAAGCTTCAAAATGAAACCGTTCTTGTTCGATCGAAAGTTAGGTGTGGCTCTTTGGATCCAATCGAGCTTCGAAATGAAACGAGTAAACAATATCAAACAATTGTCGGCCGTCTTAGGGAGGTGGACCCTTCGAACTCTGAACTCTGTCAGACTTGTACATAATATAATACGCTCAACAAATAACTACTGACATCGCGGTTGTTGCATACAACGTAACGCAACAATAACAGCAGTATTAAGTTTGTTGGATGAAGAGTGGTAGGTTCACATTAAGCGACAGGTTTTGTGGCATTTGGAGGACCCTGCTGGAGTCGCAGGTTTACCGATCAGGAGAAAGTAAGTGCGTAAAACCGCAGCGTGCTTGGATGATCGTGTACACGATATTTCTCGCGAAATACATGTAGGACCCTCTGATCACGTCGACCTCAGACGTGCACTGTCTGAGCTGTTGAGATATGAATGGCTGATAAAGACATGCCTTCCAGATTGTGGCCCACAGAACAATTTTTAAGTATCAGATTCACATTGTACGGGATAATAATGTGCATTATTGGAAATAATTTCTTTACGGTAAACTTCAGGTGCTTGTCCGAGTCTGCATTCAAGTTTTCAGATATCCCCAAAGGCTTTGCAATAATTAACGCTGTAAGGGTTCCCCGATACAAGGGTTTAGCAGTCCTGATCCAAACTTAAAGGTTTCAAATCAGTCTGAACACATATTTCAAGCCAACATCATCGCATATGATGTTATTTTCGGGATATTTTAACGTTGAATGACCTAGTCATTAATGCTACCCCAGTTTAGGAGCATGCTTAAAAATTCTGTTACATTAAACCCTGAAAATAAGCCGTTTTATACATCATGTTGTAAAAATTTGTGCCGGAAATGGGAGAGGATGAAAATCGTGAGGGAATGATTTGCCCGGCCTAATAACTGTACTCCTTTCAAACAAGAGAAATACTCCTGAGACGAGAAATTGTGTAAACATGTTTGGAGGTTTGGTCATTAAATAAAGACAGAAATAGTTACCCCTACATGAAAAGCTTGCGTCTCGGTCTTCTCCGGCCGTTTCTTGACTCGGCAAAATTGTTGAAGATATTTACAAAAATAAATACTAAGGAAATGCGGCCTTCTGCGGGGATGTTCACCGTAAGGAGCAAACACTGCCAAGCCGGATCCTACCCCCACGTCCAGACACAAGAAGAGCAAAATAAAATGGCTGCTGGTTGATTTCAGTAGTGGACTAGTGACTTCTTGAAGCTCTGCTGCACAGCGAAGGAGTGAGTGACACGCTGCAAGCGCAGTAGCTTTTTTATATTGCTTTACTCAATGGAACGCCCTGCCCTGTCCATTGAATTTAATTATAAAGGCTGTAGATCTGGACATTAATGGGATTATCAGGGCAGGAGTGTAGAAAGCTGTTCCTAAATTCACTACACATGGAAGAACTAAAATACTTGTGTTTGTCTTTTGTGCATGGCAAACTATTAATTCTTTGACTGGTTCCCCTCGGGCTTAGCATATCACTATTATAGAGATGGAAGCGAAACGGTTGGTAACCATGACGAGAGATGACACTGCTCGCTGGTACCGGGTAGGTATGGACAGCGGGTATGAAGGCACCTATCCCTACGTCTGGTTGAGGGACAACTGTCGCTGTTCCGAATGCCTGCATGCCTCGTCCTTTCAACGACTGTTTCTGATGGCCGACTTGGATCCAGAGGTTGTGCCTCTGTCCGAGGAACTCGTGGACGAGGGCGGCGTCTTGCGGATCACCTGGCCCGACCAGCACCGCAGCGACTTCGACGCCGCCTGGCTGAACCGCCAGCGGTTCTCAGGATCTGACGACGGGAGCACGGTGAACAGTCCGGAGCTGGAGATGTGGGGAGCCGAGCTAAACGGCAACATCCCGACATTCGACTTCCAGAAAGTTCTTCAAGACGACCGGGAGCTGTACAACTGGCTGAGTGTCTTGAACACCAAAGGCTTGGCCTTGGTGAAAGGCGCTCCAACTGAAAGAGGAGCTGTCGGCCAGCTGGCGGGTAGGGTTGCTTACTTGAAGCCCACCGCTAATGGGTAAGTGCGAAACGTTTACTTGATACTTTACAGATCCTGGCTTTTGCACAGAGGTGGCTGTAAAAATCATTTTTGAGTAAAACAAAAATACACATTCACTTTGAAATGCAACAAACCAATTTCTCGTTGTCTTTACAGTCACTGGTATAACCTGGAGAGCCCAGCACTTGGGGATTAAGGATGCCAGATGTTCCACAACCTACAGCGCATTCGCAGAAATTAACCAAACGACAAACTAAATTAACCCTGCTTTTTTGCCGGTGTCATGCAGTTTTCAAAGTTATGTAATCACAGCGACTGTATTTATTCCAGGGTCCAATTTCAAGTCTTCAGCAAGAGGAACACCTGCAACCTCGCCTATTCGACTTTGGGATTGCCTCTTCACGGTGATATGCCGTATCGGTATTACACTCCGGGGGTAAGTAATTCCGATATCATCTATGTACGGGCGTACCGGTAGATCATAATAGTGCGCCACCAAGAGTTTGCAACGCGTTGGCCCATCACAATGCGCGAAATCTGTCGACCCAGTGCGCGTTTGGAAAGGGTCGATAGATTTCGCGCGTTGTGATCGGCTAGCACGTCGCAGTAAATCACCCGTATTGCACAGGTACTGTGAATCGGGGGCCTCCCATTAGACACACCCAGCGGCCTTACAATTAGATATACATGTGGAGAATGTTGGTGATGAAAACTTTCCTCGCCCTCCATACCCCGTAGATCCAGATGCTTCACTGCATCAAGAAAACCAGCGACGTTGAAGGTGGAGAGAATCACTTCGTGGACGGCTTCCACGTGGCGGAGCAGGTCCGTAAGGAGCGTCCCGAGGCCTTCCAGCTGCTGAGCACGCGAGACATCGACTACCGGGCGGCAGGGACTGACTACGTTCTAGGATTCCACCTTCAAACTTGCCTACCTGTCATACAGTATGTCCGTTTTGAAGTAATTCTTGCCTTGAAACAAACCGTGATTTTTGGGAGATAGCCAAACTCCCAAGGACACCCATGCCATGAGTCGATTGAGGATCAAAGGATTTGTGTATGAAATTGGCCAGGACGTGTCACGCCATCCTTTGTTCATCTACCATAATTATCAAGATCTCTATGTAGTGAAACAAAAAGGAAAGCTTGTTTTTGCCTTGAAACAGCAAACTGATTCAATTATGCAGGTGTGACAAAAACGGTCGGGTGAAGCAGATCAACTACAACAATCCCGTGAGGGCGCCCCACATGTCCCTTCCGGTGGCTCAGATCACCGAAACCTACCGAGCCTTGAAGTTGTTCCATAACATGATGTATCGCCCTGAAAATCTGGTGTACCATCAACTGGCCCCAGGTGTGTGTTGAACACGAAACCGTGTTTCATCTTGACCTCGGTGTCTTATCTTGACGTTTTAAAATCTAAATCGTGGTTGGGCACCGCCTGAGGCTCTGACAGCAGTATTATTTTTAACCAAAGGAAAACTGTGATTCATTCTGAGGGTACGAAGCAGACACGTGAATCAAGGAGAAATTTCAACACAGAGCATGTTTCACGGCAAATAATAAAATAGCGCCAAACCACACGGATGCTCTTTGCGTGTGTCAGAGCTGATCTTCATACCAAATGTGAGAGGCATATATATTGCAGTTGGCTTATCTGACTTGGGGTAATAAAGCCCAATCACAATATGGGAGCAATCTTGTTGCCAAGCTCTTCGTGAAAATGCGAAGACTTTTTGACACTGTTCCCCACATTTCCTGTGTTGACTGCCAAAGTATCAACTATAAATCCTATAAATCAATTATAAATCCTGTAAAGTTTTTGAGGTATGGAAGACCCTCTCAGCCTAGAGAAAGTATGTTTTTCACTCTTTTAGGTCACGTTGTCCGTAGTCGATATACATGTAACTCTGTGTCAAACTTGAGAAAAACTCAAAGGCCATTGATATAATCTTGTTAAAAGGGAAATACCGCAGTGGTACCCCTGCTAAAATACAATTCTTGTCGGCATTGTGCTCTCTTACTTTCAGGTGAAATAGTCACCTTCAGCAATATTCGCACGCTTCACGCCCGCAGTGCCTACACCATCACAGGCGATGGGGGCCGCCATCTTGAAGGCGGCTACCTCGACTGGGACGAGACCTTGTCGCGTCTGCGCGTTCTGAGGGCAAGTCTCTTCGGTGACGTTCTTCTCTGAACTCAACCAGCGGCACTTCACGCTGGATGAAAAGCTGGATTTTTTTTGGGGGGGGGGGAAGCAAGAGGCGGGGAGTATGGTAAAATGTCATTAAAAGTCAAATATCCACTGAATCTCCGATGCAAGTAATTTTTCTCTGTTTGGGCTCTAGGGCAATAGTCCACCTACTTTGATACACAAACTAATGTAATTGTTTTCCTAAATGTTAAGATGTTCAGCTGATCTCCAAAAAGACAAAACTTCTTACCTTTATGGGAATCGAAGCACACTGTACCTCATTTGATAATATGTCACAAAGTTTTGTGCTTGTTTTTATATTGTTTTGTTTTGTTTTTTGGTTGTTTTGGTTTTTTTTGGACTTGTACATGTCTAGGTCTGGTTGCGTCGCTGGTCCTAGTCATGTTTTTGTTGTTTTAAAATTGAGTGGTTCCAGTCACAAGAAAGGTTAAAGGTCTACCTTCTGGCGGGAAATTTTGAATAGCTTTTTAATCCCAAGGGTCATCTGGGAGCTTTGTGTTTGAGCTTATGTTTTGATGAGGAGTGGCAGAGTGCTTGATATCTGCATTACTGATCGCCGCACAAAATATAGTTTGCCAGATATCGATTTAGGTATTGCTTGGATGGTGGAATTCTAAGCTTTATCGCCAACTGATTTTGTGTGATTTTGCTGATTTGAGAGATCTTAACTCTCAAATCATTTTTCTGCTTGTGAGGGGCACACGAAAAGATCGTACTGTTTATCCGAGGAGAGGGACGTCTTCGTGACTGTGAGTATACTTGATGTAATTGTTTCTATTTCTGCATTTTACCTATTTTTATAAATGAATATTGGGCATCATCCATTCGAGTGATACTGTGCTGGATATGACTTTGACGAATATTGAGGGAAGATTTGTGAATTAAATGCAACAGATGATCTAGATCGAGATCTTTTGTTTTCCACTGATGTAATATTTCAACTGTTTTGTTGCAAAAAAGAAACAAAACCACATTATTGCAGTGGTAGAGTAGGTCAATATTTGGGCGAAACCATGATATGTATATGGATACTGAGACGTAACGTCATGTTCCTCTTTTAACCCTAACTCCCTAGGGTGTGTGCAAAATCACATTAAAATTGGAGGATTCAGCTGTTAGGGTTAAAGAACCCTGGAAATGATTTTTCTTGTAGCCTACTAGATATGTAGTGAAGCAAGTCTTTGGCTCAGTTAACATTAATGACCAGCTAGTTCATGGGTTGAGGCCACAGATCTCCCCGCGGAGGTCATCCCAACAGGCTTTAGTAAGAGTGCCACTTACCCCGACTATGGACTCCTTCCTGTGAGGCCTCGTCTGTGGGCCAACGCGGTGATGGACAGTTGTGGAACAGATGGCTGAAAGGATACCAACGGATGATAGTAAAGTTAGTTTGACAAACCTATAGGAATGTCCAATGCCGAGAAGAAAATCAGACATTCGCTGTACAAACCAATAGGAATACCCAAGATCAAACTAACTTAACTGTTGTTAGCGGCAGCTGTTTCCTGCAAGTTTAGGACTCAGCGAACGTTTGTGAAGTTAGCTGTACCTATTACGGACAAACGTTCCAAGAAGGGAACTCTTTACACGTGTCTGGCCAGACCTTTGAATGTGCAGTGGATTTTGTTCGTTCTTTTCGTAAATAACATCAGAATTAATCCCATACTATACGTTTTTATCTAGGAACCTTGATGGTTCTAACAGAGTAATAATTAACGTACGGTTAGAATTAAGACATTCGGATAACGGGTTGTGCTGGGTTAATGTTGAATGTCCATTTTACTCGCTGATTTGTCAGTTCAGAGTTTATTCCTTTCTTCCAATAGTTGATTTTGTGACCGCTGTTTGTGTGTCATTAACCCATATAGGAAGTGCTGTTTATAATGACTATAATTTTTACTTGGCCAGTATCAAATATCTTCGTATCATGTTGTCAGTTCCTGATTGAATTATCTGTTTTCTTGTTTTCACTTGCGCTTTCAAAACAACGCAAGCTTTCCCCCGTAAATTCGTTTCTATCCGGGTCACTCTGGCATGGGTACCAGTGCTTAATCGGTGGTGGTGACCAGCATCAATTACGCGAGGCATGTTAGGCCTTCCCCTATTTACTCTCCACTGGTAAGCCCCGGGCCAGACGCGGCCATACCCGCAGCTTGCCAAGTAGCAACAACTAGTGAGTATAACGTGTGCAATGTGTCAACCAAGCAGATTTCAGTGGGAATAAAATATTATTGTCAAAGTGCAGATGTTCACAAAATACATTTGAAGCAAGATATGGGACGGAGAGAACCCCCTCCCCGGTTGTGTTGGTCATTGTTTGATCGGAATCTCAGGAATTCTTTACAGACTTCTAGGGGGGGGGTATGTTAAGTAACAATTGTCTAGAGTGTGTATAGGGATTGGACAGGTAAGGGGGCTACCCCTTCGTCCCACGTCTTGCCTGGTATTACGAAATAAGTCTTCACTGCTCAGGCCAAGCATTAATTTGAAGTTTCAGATGATGCCTTATGGAGGTGTCTTTTACTGAGCATAAACAAATGAATAAATTTTATAGTTTACAAGTAACTGCAAACAATAAAATATAACTGCAAAATTATTTTTTTAAAAACAGAATTTTGCATAGATCACAGAACAATTTATGATGGTAGACGCCAATTGAATTTATCTAAAAGTATGCATTTCTTTTTTATTTGTATATATTTATGAGCAGCACCTTTATCCATGTGATTTCTTGAAAGCTGTTAGAATTAATGTAGGTAATTCTTTACACTTGTAGATGGAAATCGGAAGTGTTACAATCGGTGTATTATTTTCAAATTTCACGCATGATTAATCTTTTCAGCAGCGGAGTGTGGTGAAAATAAAACAAGGTTTTTGAAGAATTGTCACTTTTAAAACTGGCAGATGACACACGGAAGACCTTTTTGTCTCGTGAAAATTTCCCAGGATTTCGTAGTCAAAGAGTGAGTGCAACCTCAGCTGCGCGAATTTGAATATTTTTTTTGCACGCGTTTCGTCTCAATGGGTCTGGAATTCGTCAGTGCGCATGCTCAGACAATAAAGATGGCTAAGCAATTCAAGCCTGATACACTCACACCACAGACGACTCGGATACCGTGACGCATCCCCTCTATACAAGATTAGCACTAAAAAAAAGAGTGACCTGCGTGATTTTTCTTTGGTTCCTGATGGGAGGTCGACGGTAAACGTCGCTTTTTTCGGATTGTACTTTGATCATGACCATACATTAAGTTTACTCTTACACATGAGTTGTACAATGGACTATAATTTATTTATCTACTGGGTTTTATTTATTTGGTAAGGAGATAAGCATGGGGTACATTTATTGTAAAGTGTGATAGCCCAGAAATTGTATAGTCACGCGACGAAGCCCCAGGAAAACCTTTCCCTTGTTATCCACCGCTCAGTCGATGTTTGCCTACTGGGGGTTTGCAAAGTACGGTATAGCTATAGCCTTCAGTTCAAACGCGGATGATTAATTCACACAATGTTGAAAACATCTCTCAGAGCTATCCACAATGACAATTTTTTTCTCGAGAACACGCTGCACAGACCAGGACAAGTCTATCCTATTTGACGATCTGTGCACAGGGGGACGTGCCCGACAAGTGGAGTTCGTCACGGTATCAGCAATGGTCCAACAATATGGGATCAGGTCAACTCGGACACAAACCAACTCGGACTCATGCCAACTCGGACCCAGGACCAACTCGGACCCACGCCAACTCGGACCCACGCCAACTCGGACCCACGCCAACTCTGACCCACGCCAACTCTGACCCACGCCATTTCGGACCCACCTCGAGTCAACTCGGACCCATTGAGACTTATGGTTGTATTATACCAAATACGCGCCCGTAGACCGAAATAGCGCCGACTCTTGAACCTTGCGAAGAGGTTGGCCTTCATTTTTTTCGCTAGAATTTCAAGATTATAGCCAGATAGATTACTTTGCGTTTCACTCCAACTTTATGAACTTTTTTATTCGCCTTTTCCCGAAGATACCCCCCTAATAGTAGTAAAACTATGCGCCGATGTGAATGTAGCCGCCTGCCTCTATCCAAAATAGGCCCGCATTGTACTGTCAATCACACTCCAAAAGCTGCTCCCATTGGTTGTCCCAAGCTCCCACTCCCCGATCATAGGGTTTCAAGAATGGAAGGTGACAAAATCAGTGTTTGTGGTTAATCACACCGGTACCTCGGAAGCTAATACCTGATTAAGATTCCAGATTACAAGCGGCAAATAAGACGTCAAAGGAAATGTGCCTCCATAAAAATAAGACGCTCGTCGGTTACTCGTCACTTGTTCCAAGAC